CCAAGCATTTGCATTGTTCTATGCCAGTTTATATTCATCAGAGATCAAGTTGGACAGGCCATCATGTAAATCCTTCTTGAACAGTCTCCATTTACCGGAACTGAATGATTCATTCAGAGCGTGTTTAGATAGCCCAGTCTTATTACCTGAACTACATGAGGTTGCAAAGTCACCAGGTATAGACGGAATTCCACCAGAATTATATCTTGCAATTTGGGGAATTGTTGGCCCTTTGATGCTTGATTCCATTAATTTTGCTATTAAAGAGGGATCCTTCCACAGGGATCAGAGAACAACCATTATCTCACTACTGTTAAAAAAGAACAAAGACCCCTTGGATTGTTCCAGTTTTAGACCTATTTCTTTAATTTGTGCGGATGTTAAAATATTCTCGAAGGTTCTGGTTGCGAGGATAGAACCTTTTATCACCAAACTTGTTCATCAGGTTTCATCAAAGGCCGGACGGCCTCAGATAACTTAAGGAGGTTATTACATATAATCAACCTAGCTGATGCCTCTCACGATTCCCCAGCAGTGGGGAAAAAAAAAACAAACATCTTGAATGGGATTACCTGTGGCTACTCCTGGAAGACTTTGGTTTTGGGCCAACATTTATTGGGATGGTTAAAGTTCTTTATTGCTCCCCCATTGCTTCAGTGCTAACAGGGCTCTGTAAATCATCTCCTTTTGAACTACAGTGAGGTACTAGGCAGGGCTGTCCTCTCTCCCGCTTGCTTTTTGCTCTTTCTTTAGAACCCTTTGTGCAGGCTATTAGGCAGAGTCAATCTATCATGCCGATCACGCTCTTGGGTACCCCCCACCATATTTCATTATATGCAGATGACATTCTGCTATATCTGTCAAATATTGATCAATCACTTCCCGTTTGAACTTGTTTGAAAAATTTCATAATTTATCTGGCCATAAGATAAATTGGTCTAAATCTGCTCTGATGCCTTTTGGTTATGTTAAGGACAAGGTCTCTTTACCTTCATCCATTCCCATGGTGACCTCTTTTGTTTACCTGGGTATCAAAATAAGTGGCTCCCTGTCAACTATTCTGCAGGATAATTACACCGAGCTCATGCATAACATAACTGCAGATCTTTGAAAATGGAGCTCTCTGAAGATTTCTATGCAAGCCAGAGCTGCCATCATTAAAATGAACCTTCTACCTCGCTTTAATTTCTTATTTTCTATGCTGCCTATTCAGCCACCTCCCAAATTCTTTGAGAATGTGCATTCACAATTTTCTAAATTTATTTGGACTGGCAAACGAGCTAGGATCCGTCTATTCACTTTACAGCGTTCCAAAGCGAAGGATGGGCTTGCCATCCCTAATTTGAAATTTTACTTTCTCGTGTTTCAGATCTGGTCTATACGCGTTTGGATGGACCAAGGCTCACAGATTTCATGGTGATCAATAGAAGCGGGCTTGGTATATCCGTATCAACTTACAGATATACCTTTTATAAAAACGGCGACAAAATATGTTAAGATATGGTTCTATCCTCTCTACTACATTGAGAGCCTGGCATAATGCTGAAAAGATACTGGGATGGGCCATTCAAATTCACTTTTTCCTCCCCGATATGGAACAACCCCTGTTTAATGTCAAGTGGGCAACCATTCACTTCTCCCATCTGGCTATCTAGTGGCATCCGTGTTCTTGGCGACATTTGCGATAATAACACTCTACGGACATTCCAAGACCTTCAGCTTCAGTATTCACTTCCGGGCACCTCCTACTTTCTTTATCTTCAGTTGAGATCAGCCATGTGGGCTTATGGAGTACCCTGGCATTCACATCCCCTGTCTACCCATGTCAGCCCCGGTAGCAGCTCCAGAGGCCTAGTCGCGAAATTGAACAACTGCTTGTTGACAAGCTCCATGAAACTGCTGTCTATTATGTTGGTATGGGACAGGGAGTTGAGACTGGTGGGTGCTCAACCTGACTGGGACGAGATCTGGTCTAATTTGCCGTTAACGTCAAAATGCTTAGCACATCAATTAATTCATTATAAGTTGATTCATAAAGCTTACACAACACCTCTTATCTGCTTTAAAATTAATCTTTCTCAGAGCCCACATTGTACTCTCTGCCAAACTGCCACAGGCACTTTCCTTCACACGTTTTGGGAGTGTCCCATGATATATGTATTTTGGAAGTATGTTCTTCACATTTTATCGAAATTCCTTGGTGTTGCTCTGGTCCTGGACCCCTGTCTCTGTTTACTAAATGACAGCTCTGCACTTGTGCTTACTTTACACAAAAAGCGCTTGTTATTTGCAGGCTTTGCTGCTGCCAAGAAAGCAATCCTTCGACTGTGGTTCAAAGCGGACATTAATTTGAAGAGTTACTGGATTGTGTCTTTGCTTGACATTGCAACTTTAGAAGAGACCACAGCTAGATTGAACAAAGCTAGCGTCTCCTCAATCAATGCATGGACTGGACTCTGTAGATTAACAACACTCTGGGTCGGTAGTATGATGTACCTGATAAGGTTTGTGTTTATTATTTGATCTGCCCCCCTTCCCCCCTTTTCCTTTTTTTTCCTCCTCTTTTGTGTTTGTGTGCATTTTTTGTGGTGTATGTGTCTGTTTTTGTTGGTTTGGAAATGCAAATAAAAAGGAGAATCAATAATAATAATAATATGGGCGATGCAAAGTGACACCAGGCACGATGCAAGTGTCTTTGCCAGCATGAGCCTGATGCAGTTTCCCATCCAGCTGGGCGTTAAGGGCTTTGCTCAAGGGCTCATAGACTGTTCTGAGCATGAAGTGGTGATCTTCTGATTATGGGTATGGAGGCTTAGTCTGCTGAGCCACATGGCCTACCACCAAACAAAACTGGGTCTAAAGTCAATGGTGTGGTATTTCACTGTTATTTTAAAGGTGCACGAAAGACATGCTGTGTAGAATTTACTCAATAAAAATTCTTTACTTTTTTTTAAAAGTATTTGCACAAGCATTTTCCAAGTACGTTTAACTGTAGAACTAGTGAATGCAAGTTAATTATAAGCATTAACCATTTACTTTAGGCCACATTCGTTTTGGGGAGGACAGCATGTGACTCAGTGAGATAAGCCCCTGGGCCTGTGATCATAAGGTTACTAGCTCATGCCCTGCCTCAGCAGCATAGTCACATGTCTATAGGCCCTTGAGCAAAGCCCTTAACTCTTAGCTGGAACCACTTTGTATCATGTTGAATAGGGCCCTTTATCTTAATTGGCATTGGCCATATTATTTGCCAAAGTTGGGTTTACTTTATTTAAATTTTAATTTACCCAAAAAAGTGAGTGCAAAAGTGATATTATTGTATAATTATTGTTTTTTTACAGTGTTTGTTGCAGTGCATGGCAAAATGTAAAGTTCATGTAAAAGTTTTTATTTTTCCTGTAGGCTTTTCACCTGAGTGTCTTACATGTCAAGTGTGTGTTTTTAGTATGATTGTGGCCATAGTCATACAAGGAAAACCACTGACTTGTAGTGAATTTATAAAAACATTATTTCACGTACAACCCCATCCCACTTGTCTGCTCCCTGCGTTTCCCTTGAGCATGGCTGCTAATCAGCCACTCCTGAAGCTTGTTAGTCTTAGGGGCCATTCACATATCGCGTCTTTTGCGCGCTCAAGTCCATTATTTCAAATGTAGATGCGCGGCAGCCGCGCTCATAACGGTTTTTTCTGGCGCGTCTGCGCCACGACGAGTTGGAAACATCTCAACTTTTCAAAATGCCGCAAGTGCACCGCGAGTCATGTGACAAGATTCAACCAATTAGCTTCCTCGCCTTTTCCGTTACACTGACGCCTCAGCAGAAACATGGAGGAGCAGCTCATTATTGTGGTCCAGGGATTTCCTGAACTTTATGATTTGTCATATATATATGTACACACACACACACAATTGCTGTACTAGTTACTTAAAAATATTTTAATGCGTATAACTAATTCCTTGTTAAATCCATCATTGTTTTTATAGAATGGATTTATATAGAATTTGTTATTGTTTATATAGATTTTATATAGAATTATTTCAGTTATATTTTTTTAATTTTGTGTTTTGGTCATTTCGGTTATGACGGTAATTATCTCAGACAAATGCAGAGCCGTTGTGCAGGAGAGATGGTTTCACGGCAGAAGCTCTGTTTGCTGATGCTAGGGCCAGCTTTTCCTAAAATATAATCCAACTGGTCCTTGTCAAGTCTGAAATAGGCTTTGAACCTCCCGTTGTCCAGGCGGAGCTCCTGGATCAGCTGGTGAAATTCCCCGTGTTTTTTACATTTTTGAAGAATGGGGTGCATTTTCTGCGTAAATAAATCTTGTAGCAGAGTCACAGCAAGGGTTTTTCGTTGGTGGAAATCCATTTTTGAAATTAATGGAGAGCGCGGCGGATGGTTGCTTAGCAACGACAGACACTTCCAGAGCGCAAGTGCCCGGGCGCTTTTGGAAAAAAGGAGAAAGCGACGCGCCTAGCGTTTTCCTCGCGTTTTTAGGCGCGATATGTGAACGGCCCCTTACCTCTTGTTCCCACCCTCTTGTTAACCAGCCACAGCTGCCTTGAATTTACTCCTCTGTTAGTCATGAATATTAGCGTATCTTAGTCCTGTGCTCCCTGTTCAGTCATTGTTATCTCTCTGTATGTGCTGCCCTGCCAATTTCCCCCAATAAATTCCTCTGCTAGGGGTTTCACTTGCTGACAGCCTGCCTTTGGGTCGTCCTTCTCCCACCATAACGTGACACATTATGTGTTGTCATATAGAATTGAAATAAGAAAAATGCTTTATAGTCTTATATGAATCATACGTTTTGTTTTTTTTCATATGGGATTACTACCTTCAGTCATTCTAAAATCTGGGTTTCAGATTATCAAAAAACAAATCCATTGTTATCCATTATTAATCTACAAGGAGAAATAAATTGCATATTTAATCTTTTTAAAATAAAGTTAATGTATTACTGCTAGACTGGACATTTTTCACATTTTCACATCACTTACAGTGCTGTCTTGTATTTCTTGACCACAGGCAGCAGCCTCTGGAGACCTTCATCTGATCTGATGTATTTCTTCAGCTCAAACACATCCGGCTCCTCATCTGACATCAGTAACACAAAGGCCAGAGCTGACCACTGTGCAGGTGAGAGGTCTGCTGCTGAAAGACGTCCTGAATTCAGGTATCTCTGTACTTCCTCTACTAGAGAATTGTCACCCAGTTCATTCAGACAGTGGAACAGGTTGATGGTCCTTTCTGGAGACAAATTCTCCTTTATTTTCTCCTTGATATATTGGGCTGTTTCGTTAATGTTATGTAATCTGGTTCTTGTCTGTCCCAGTAGCCTTGGTAACAGAGTCTTACTGGAGTCTGTTGAGAGGCCCAGGAGGAAGCGGAGGTAGAGGTCCAAGTGTCCATTCTTGCTCTTTAATGCCTGATCCGTTGCAGACTTCAGGTGATCAGCTGATGAGTTTGAAAGAAACACATATAAAGCAGCGAGATACTCCTGGATGCTCAGATGCACAAAGCAGTACACCTTCTCCTGATACAACCCATATTCCTCCTTAAAGACTTCTGTGCACACTCCAGAGTAAACTGAAGCTTCAGTGACATCAATGCCATTTTCTGTCAAATCTTGCTCATAAAAAATGAGATTGCCTTTCTCAAGATTGACATTGGCCAGTTTACCAAGTTTGAGAAGGAATGTATTATTTTCTAAGTATTTTTTATTTTCTGTTTTTTGTTTTTTCATGTATTTGTTACTTTTTAAATCTGTCTGAAATATCAGGAAGTGTGTGTACATTTCAGTCAGAGTCCTTGGAATTTCTCTCTTGTCATTCTCACTAAAAAGCCTCTCAAGCACAGTGGCTGAAATCCAGCAGAACACAGGTATGTGGCACATGATGAAGAGGCTCCTTGATGATTTCACATGTGTGATAATCGTGCTGGCCAGGCTCTGATCACTGAATCTCCTCCTGAAATACTCCTCCTTCTGGCCATCACTGAACCCTCGTATCTCTGTCACCTGGTGGACACACTCAGGAGGTATCTGATTGGCTGCTGCTGGTCGGGAGGTTATCCAGAGGAGAGCGGATGGAAGTAGGTTCCCCCTAATGAGGTTAGTCAACAGCACATCCAGTGAAATTTTCTTTGTTAAATCAAACCAATTCTCATTCTTTTGAAAATCTAATGAAAGGCGAGACTCATCTAGGCCATCAAAGATGAATAAGACTTTGTACCTAAACAGCTCAGTGTGTTCAAGTGATTTCAGTTCTGGGACAAAGTGCTGAAGCAGTTCCATCAGACTGTATTTATCCTTAATCAAATTCAGGTCCCGGAAAGGAAGAGGAAATATGAAGTGAACATCCTGGTTTGCTTTTCCTTCTGCCCAGTCGAGAATAAATTTCTGCACAGAGACTGTTTTCCCGATACCTGCAACCCCTTTAGTGAGTACAGTTCTGATAGGTTTCTCACGCCCAGTTAAGGGTTTAAATATATCATTGCACTTGATTGTAATATCTTCTGTAACCCTTTTCTTGAATGCTATTTCAATCTGTCTCACTTCATGTTCATCATTGATTCCTCCAGTCCCACCTTCAGTTATGTAGAGTTCTGTGTAAATCTCTTTGAGAAGTGTTGGCTGTCCTTCCTTAGCTTTCCCTTCAAATACACACTCAAATTTCTTCTTCAGGTTACATTTGATTATGTGCTGACACTGTGACAGAAGATGCCCTGAAATGAAATCCACAAACTTAAAAAAAAACACACACACACATTTGTACTCAAACAAGCAAAATCAAACAAAATGAAATTAATTTTACCATATAGTATTTTTCTGTGGGGAAATCAAACACACAGAATGAGATACAGCTCTTACTCTTCTCCAGTATGTCAGCCAGATCATTTTCATTCATGGTCCTCAGGATGTACAGTGTGATCTTCAGAGCTCCCTCTCTAGCACAGGTCTTCTGCATCTGACCATCACTGTCCAGGTCGTTGTCCTCCTCCAGCTGAGGCTCAGAGCATTCTGGGTAATTCTGCTCTAGGTACCTCGTGATCTTCTTCAGCTCGTCCTTCAGGAACCTTACAGCATTTTCCTCTAGTGACTAAAAGAAACATGGTTAATTATTTCTACTCGCACCAAACTTTTTCCTTTTCAAACTAAGTTTAAATACCCTTTTTCACATGATTAATTTCTTATTGTACAGCTATATAAAATGTAAGCCAAGTCACAAAACAGCTAAGAAAATATATATCAGCAATGAATACAAACCTTCAATATGGAAGAAAAACCCAGTTTATCCTGTAGATCTGAACTGCATCCTTCCATTTGGTCTCTGTGAATAAGGCAGAAATATAAAGACCTCAAATCATCTACACAAGTGTAGCAGAAAGTCTGTAATGGTCGCCATTAAAAGTGCTCCTGTTGCCGACAAAAAGTAACCTATTGTTGTATTTCAATTTGAAAAAATGCCTTTTTAAGCTTTATTCATCAGGGTGGCTTCATAACATCAATCTTCTCAAAACAGTAGAAGACAACGAGTGATATCTTGCTCCACCACACAGAGATACGGCAGGCAGGACAGACAATTTGCTGTATAGCCCTTTGAACCCAATGACTTTCAGAGGGATTAACTTGATTTCAAACAGATTTGATCTTAATTAGCAGAGCTAACTAACAGTATTTGATTGAACAGCCTGAGAATTTGTGATGGACTTTGATAGGAAGCTCAATATCAGCATTTTCACAAACACATTTCGACATTGAGGAACAGGCTACATCAGCCTTGGTTATAAGAGCATTAACAACAGATCTAATACAGAACTAAAATAGTGTTCAATTATTGATAGGTGACGGCCTCCCATGCATGTTTGCTTGCAACACTAAACTAGACTAAGTGAACATTACGTTTTATTTTAATTAGATTTTACGAGAGTATGAACAAAATAAAGATCACTAATACACAGTCCCAGTGCCATGCATGGACTGGTTCTCAGCCTATTGATGTTCATCCTGATGACAACGACTGCTCTGCTGCTCAACAACATATACATTCATTTTCCCTTTAAAACCAGGATAAATAAAGCCCATAGACGCCCTTTGACACCATGCTTCACTGGAAGTTTATGGAAGATTTATGTATGCCTTGCATAAATGGAGAATAGACATATTAGTAAATAGGCATGTAATGATGAATCCCGAATTGGTTAAAAATCGATGTAAATGTATGACGATTTAAACCGGCTCATGTGGAAAATGAATCACTACTTTAGGAGTACTTTATTTAACAGAAAAACTGGTGTAATATTACATTTAATTTCACAATGTCAGTTCGATGTCAGATGTCACTGCGTATGCACATCAACGTCTATGTTAGTTTTCGGTTTTTACTGAACGCGAGATGGCGAGCGAATTTGAAGTTGAGGACACACCCCCCAATCTTAAATTGGTGGTGTGGCAGCGTTTTAGCTTTCCGGTAATCACAAACGAAAATGGTGAGAAAAGCACAGACAAGACAAAAACTGCATGTGCAAACATTGTAAAAGACTGATAACTTACACAAATAGCACAAGGAACATGCTTCAGCATGTGCACCGGCACCACAGTGAGCTCAATTCACCACCACCAGAGCAAAGATTATTAAAAGGACAAACCACTCTAAAAAGCTGCACATGCAAGCCTTAGTTCATTTGCTAACGCTTTATATTAAGTGCACCTTCATAATGCATTCATTATGCATTTATAGAACACTTAGTGCACCTTCATAATGCATTCATAGGACATTTATAAGCAGCATGCAAATACACTTCAACATCCTAACACCCCTTAACAGCTTTAATACACGTTAGGCCTCGTTCACACGGACGTCTGTACCAGGCATTTTTCTGGCATTTGTAGCACCAGGTGAGCGCTGACTGAACGCCGACCATTTTTCTGCTCATTGGAGCAAATCAAAACATCCACACGGGCGTTCAGCACCGGCGTTCGGCCAGCTATGTGTTCAGGTGGCGTCAAATAAACGCTGCATGCAACGTTTTCTTGGCGTCAAAATCCCGACGAACGTGAGGAAAACAATGTTATTGCGTTTACATGGCGTTCGGTTGGCATTCTGGAGGACTGAATATGTCCCATGATTCTATACGACAAAACTGCGAGAAACCACATTTTTACGGAAAATGTGATACTCGTAATATCGGTATTGTACCAGCAGTGAGTTAATCAGCTGCTGGTACAATGCTGATATTAGGTGTAATCCAAACTGACAGATCAACTGGTGCTAATATTTGCGCTTAAAATCCCAATTTAAAAAGCTCAGTAGGCAACTGGAAATCTGGACATCTATAAAGAAAAACTCATTTAACTGATGCACCGTATCTGCTTTCTGTTTTCAACTGGCTTTACTCATAGGGTTCAACTGTAGTTAATATGAAATTACAAAAGCTGTAGAAATATTTCAGTATAAAATCATGCGATATAAATAATTATAGTGTTACAGCAATTACAGCCATAATTATCATTAAACCTTGCAACTCCGATCAGGATAAGCAGTGGGGAGATTGATGGATGTGTGGATATAAATAAAATTTACATAAATGCATCTTGGACCTCTAGCTTAAAAATTAGTTTACACACTGCAGCTGATCCTCCCCCCCAATTTAAGCAATTAATACATGAACCCCGCTTCTCTTCAATGTCTCAACAATTACGGATAGATTTGAGAGTACAGCATAACTTTGGCTACTTATTACCCATGCGACATACTCAGAAAACCGCGGCTGAAACACACACACCGAACCTGAAAAAAATCACAAAAAAACTGAAAATGAAAGACGCAAATTATGCACGTTTGAAAGTAATTTGCAAATATAAAACTAGAACTTTACAATGTGATTTCGTCATCTTGTTTAAATCTCGAAATATATACATTAGAAACCTTAAGAGTAATTACTGCCCCCACAGGTAAATAGACGAAACTACAGATTGGGCGTCAGGCTGATGTTAAACAATGTCAAGCGAACACCAGTGAAACGCCAATTGAACGCAGCTACAAAACGCAGGAAAAACACGTATGGTGTTCAGAAGGCGTTCATTTCGAACGTCCTTGTGGACAAGGCCTTAATAACAAACATTACATGATTATACAATTATAATGTGTTACTATATAATGTTTGTTATTAATGTATATTTCAGCTGTTAAGGGATGTTAGGATGTAAAGGTAAACATGGAAGTGCCACTGTTCAGGGTCTCTCCAACAATCCTACGGACTTTCTACTCAGGCGCTGTGGACAGCATCCTGACTCAGATGATCCTGAAGGCCCTGCTCCTACACACTGTAAAATCTAATATGTTGACTTAACTTAAAAAAAGTATGCAAACTCATTGCCTTAAAAAAACCAAGTCCAATGAACTTAGTTATAGTAAATTAGTTCAGTAAGAAAGACTTATTAAGCTCACATTTCATAAATTAACTCAGCTTAATTATTCTAAGTAGGTAATACTTAAGCTTACTTTTTATAAGTGAACTCAGCTTGATAATTTTGAATAAGTGGGACTTATGTAGCTTACATTTTTTAAGTGAGCACTACTTAATTGTAATTATTGACCTCACCATAATTTCAGTAACTGATTTTCTGGCTCAGTTTACATACTGCCTTTAAAATGAAGATGCCACGGACCCGCAATAGCCAGGACACCCAGCCCCAGCCCAGAGGCCGGAGCAAAGAAGCCTCACTACCCTGAACAACACTACATGATGAAATTAATTATTGGGGTCCAGTGTATTAAAATTCTGTCAGTCAATTTTTTCGTATAGGCAGGCATTCTCTCCATAGAAGTGTGATCTAACAGTAGATTTTTAAATTGCATTATGTTCAATTTCTCTTTTGACTTCCTATTCAAGAGGATTGTTTTTTTGGCGATGGTTAGGACAGTAATATGGAGCCCCTCTGGTGACATAGGAGAAAAAAATATATATTGCGTGGCCACGAATTATAACGCGTGGCCACGAGATAATTAAGTGGTGGCCACAAATTAATAATGCGTGGCCACAAGCTTTCCTGGAAACACCTAGACAACTTGGAGAGTGGATAAAAGTAAGTACAGTGGTACCTCAGAACTCGAATTTAATCCGTTCCGAACTCCGGATCGAATCCTAAAAAGTTCGAGTTGTGATCTAATTTTCCCCATAAGAAATAATGGAAAACCAATTAATTGGTTCCCGGTCCCAAAAAATTACACCTAAATATGTTTTTTTTTTAGCATTTAAAAGCAAAATGAACCGGATAAAACAAGAACAGCATATACTGTACTAAACACATCTATATCTAAAATGTATGCAAACAATGTGCCCTGCCCCGATGGTCCGCTCCTTCTGTGTGCCACGCCCCCTCGTTAACCCGTGTGGAATCCCCATGTGATCAGCTGTTTCTGGTTGTTGACATTAGTCCTCTGTATTTCGTCCACATTTCAGTTTGTTTCCCAGTTCGGTCATTGTATTGTCTGTCTGCGTTTTGCCTGCCTTACCTGTAATTAAACCCCGTATTCCCCGATACCCTGATGTCTGCTCCTTTGTCTCCGTTCCGTTCCCGCTCGGCACAACAATATTATTATAATTAAATGTATTAATGGTTTATTATTAATTAATTACTGTTACTGTTTATCATTGTCGAAATGTATTTTTACTGTCTAAATATATGTATTCAGTTAGTATAAACATGCACAATGCTATCACAGCGAATGCGAAGCTGAGACTGAAGCTTTACCCTTTGTTTCCGCTGAGAGACGTGCCACGTGACTCATTTCCCGTCGTGTGCAAGTTATCATAGGTCGGCGTTCACAGTTTGAATTCTGAGATTCAGATCGAGCTCTAGGTAATTTTTTTTCGAACTGGTTGGTTCGGTTGGTTCGAAGAAATTCAAGTTCTAATGAGTTTGAGAACTGAGGTACCACTGTATAATTTTACAAAGAAATTATAATCTTTTTAATTGATAACATAATTGTGAGAAGACACGTTAACTTCCTGAAGGCTTTATTGACAAGTGCATTAGACCAGCGTTTCTAAAACTATGGGCCACGGACCGACTCCAGTCCGTGAAAAAATTACTGCCAGTCTGCGTAGCCTTGCTTCTGCATCAGTCAAATGGGCGTTTCTCAATACCAAATAAACCGAGTACAGACTCCCGTTCTTGGAAGTTTGCACTTGGGAAGTTCGTTAGGAAGTCCAGACACCTCTGAGGGCGGGAGGACATACTGTATGTCATGTAATGTCTGTACAATTTACCCAAAGTGTAACATCTGTTGAGATGCAACCCAAAACACCTATACCGTATACTGATGTGAGTCAGTAACATACATAATATAAGCAATTGTTAATTAATTAATACAGATGGTATGAGGTGTGAACCGCTAGGCTGGTAAGGCATGTTTGGTGTCAAACTGATGGAAAATCACTCCTGATTCCAAATCTGGTCAGTGGTTACCATGAAAGTGGATGTATCAAAAGTTATACTAGCTTAATGAAAATCATCAGTAAAGGGAGAATCAGTCTGGTCATAAATCCCAAAAGGATTGCCACAGACACCCTCCGAAAGCCCGCCAAATGGATGGCCAGCCATTGGTCCAGGAGTCGAATTCCTGGTCATCCCTATTCATGAACTTTAGACCATAAAACCTGGCACCTCAGAACAAAGCGGGGGAGGAGCAGCCCACAAGAAGCTCTCCTGAAGCCTGCCGGTGAAAGCCTGCTAACCAACAGAGAACTGCAACCAAGACAAAGCCTTTCACCTTAAAGCTTCACAAGGAGAGAGAATCTAAGGGGCTCCACTCCACTGCTCCAAACGTTCCTGAGTACCATCATCGCGTCAGCTCATCAGCCTCTGCCACCAACTGCCTAGACTTCCCCCCTGCTCTGCAACCAAGTAAACCAACTTCCTTTCATTCTAACAGCCTTACTTGTTCTATTAACCTGCACTACGACTTTAGGGTTGTGTTTCCACAAACTGTGCTTGCTTTGCAGAACAGTATTACTCATTTAAATCTGACCATTGCATTTCCATAATTACATTCTGTCTGCTTCTATTCTGTTATTTTTGTTTTGTTGTTTGTGTTAATTGTAATGTCTGTCTTATGTTAGTTGTAGTGTTAGTTAGGAATAAATGCATGTCTTTTACACAACTTCAGCCTCCTTTCATTGAGTGCTCACAATAGTCCCTGCCTCTGCGATCTGGCTACAAGTTCTGAAACCTCAAACTCGGCTAAAATATTACGAGACTCTCTCTCATTGGCCGTGAGGGGAGCTTCGCTACCAATCGTTTACATTACCTGGTGATGCAGCTCAGCGGACGAGCCTTCTAACCCAGGTTACTAAGCGATACTGGTAATTAGTGAATCCCATTTAAGTCTCACATTAACAGACTCACAGGGATACCGCAATTGAGTTTGGAGGAACCAACTATTCAGCATAACCATTAGGCAATAACCGTCATTAAATACTCATTAATTTTAAACATATTGGTGGAGATATTATAATTTACCTGAGCTAATAGTTCCTACAACATTTATTTGGTCGTATTAAATAATTTAAACACTGCATAATACTAAAATACATAAATAGAAAAGCATTTGGATAAAATAAATGACAATTTAATCTCACTTTACCTTGCTGAAAAAACGTGGAAAAACACAAAATCACATGAAAAGTTATAGCGCAGGTTGTTCACTGAATGGTAGCAACTGGCGTACTGACGCGTGTGGGCAGTCATGGCTTTGTCTTGAGAGGTAAACAAGGTCAGCGCTCGGTGTCGTGACTCATTTTGACCCGTACAAGTTCTTGCACGCAAGTCGTATTCCAAAGGTCATATACCAAGCAAAATTTTTCGCGTCCAAACAGGATGTATACCAAGTTAGACTTATTCCAAAGTGGACGTATACTGAGGTGCCACTCTATTTGAATGCACATTTACCTTTGCTCTGTAGGAAAAGGTCCCTCTCTGAATTCGATTGGGGGATTCATTGACCTGTCACTCTTCATGGAAACACAGCTGGGTGCAGGTGAGTCTGCTCTCTCCATCAGGACACTGTGGGCAGAGAGGAAACAAATCCTCATTATATAAATATTATTCATATAATGTGGACAGAATCACATTAAACCTTCAGTTGTTTAGCCTTCTATTCTACCTTCATGTACTTTTATATGTTGTGAAGCTCCTGTTGCAAACAGAATTGGTTTAAATTAGTTTTAATGTGAAATCAATTCTCACATTAAATTGAAATTCCCATATAAAAAGTACCTCCATCTCCAGATTTGGCTGCTGTTGCTTTTTCCTGTTTATTTTTTTATTTTTGTTCTCCACCACCACACTAGTAGCCTAAATTGCAGAAGAACTTCCACTTTTTGGAGATTGCAGAACTTTAGTCAACTGTTGCTCCAGGTACTTATTTAATTGCCCGGTGTATGATATTTGTAACATTCCTGATTGTTTTTAAACATTATTCATAAGAACATAACATGTTGTAATTTTTCAAATGTGATGCCAAAAATGCTAGGTATTTCCATAACATGTGTTCTTTCTTAAAATTTAATCAAAAGGCAATTAGGGTAATATGTTATATGAGACATTCAAGCATTACTCCTATAGTCATTGTTATTTTGTATAAATGATAACTGTATGCACTGTTTATGTGTGTGTGTGTGTGTGTGTGCACTATGTATTTGTGTTTGCAAAAGTTAAAAAATTATGCATTCATTCTAAAGTTTATTTTCTTCATAGATTGTATGTGGCTCTATGCCCTTTGGACTGAGAGTCTGAGTGTTTCTAACATTATTTAAATGCACATTTACCTTTGATCTGTAGGAAAAGGAAAAGGTCCCTCTCTGAATTTGAGTGGTTTGTCCATTGACCTGTCACTCTTCATGGAAACACAGCTGGGTGCAGGTGAGCCTGCTTTCTCCATCAGGACACTGTGGACAGCGAGAGGAAACAAATCACCCATTTTCTATACTCAGGTGTTCTGTGCAGGGTTGTAGGGGTCAGGAACCTATTCCTGAAGTTACAGGTGCAAAGCACAGAATGACCCAGGATGGAGTGCCAGCCCATTGCAAGGTACACACACGTGATACTCCTATATATTTTGTTATTCTGATTGACCTTTGCATATTTTTGACTGTTGGGGGGAAACTGGAGCACTTGGGGGATGGGGAGAACATGCAATCTCCACACATGTAGAGTCTCAAAATCTGATCCTTTTTAATTGTTTGTTTATCTATATATTTAGTTATTTCTTTACTTAATTGATCTCTACCACATTACCATATGTGGTCATTTTGGGATGATCTCTTAGTTGCCTCTAGTATAGAAGAACTGGCTGATTTTGTGAGAAAAGAAGATGAAAGAATATGCAAAGTTATTCTATTTTTAAACTGTAAATATGAATGTTACCTATTTGTAGCCTTTTAAACTTTATGTTACACTGTAGCACTGTTACCTCTCAGTCCCCTTTGTTTTACACTCCACAGAGGAACTCATTTCTGAAGTAGCTCCCTCCATTTTTGTACCAATCCAGACCAGATAACTCCTGCTGGGGCCTCTGTAAATAGAAAATTCATACACAAAATGTAGTACTCCACTGTTTTGCATTGAATTTAGAATAGAATAGAAAGCTATATTACCATTTCACTGCAGCACTACAAGATTAACACAATGGGGTCATGCTCACAGGTTTCATATGTAGTATGACATTTACTAATGTTGAATTTAGTGATTAATTGTCATTGTTGACACATCACAGCACACAACTACGAAATGTGTTCTCTGCATTTAACCCATATGTGACATAGCAGGGAACAGCTAATTCAGCACCTGGAGAGCAGTGCTTGGGGACAGTACCTTGCTCAGGGTACCTCAGTGGTGCCTTTCTGGTCAGGGATTCAAACCTGCAATCTTTCAATTACAAATGCGCATCCCTAACCATTAAGCCACTACTGCCTGCTCTGTTATTTAGTGTGAAATGTAAGGGAATTTGTGCTATATGTATCATTACCAAACATCCTGATTTTCCCAAGTTCAACACTCCACTGGGTCAACAATGGAAGGGCTTATGTTACACTTCTTTAATCAGTCACTGTCTTCATTGTATCACTTCATCACATTGGTCTGTTTTTTCTCATTATGAAACTCATGGCTTCCAGCCATCTAGTCGTGGGCTGTGTGTGGCTCAGCGGGCTGTGATCAGGAGGTCCTTAATCCCCATCCACATAGCAAGAGGAGTCTGATCCGGATCAGCCTCATCTTGCTATGTAGATGGATGGATCGATGGATGGATGTTTTATTATCATTGTAAGTACAATAACATTTAATTTGGAACGTTCCAGCAGATGCACAGTGTATTTACAATTAAATACATAGAATCTGAAATAGAATCTGTAGTATGTATAGACACTATATATATATATATATATATATA